ATACCTTAATCATTATAGAGGTTAGAAAGATGAAACTATGCAAGATGGTAATTTGTTAAAAGCTTTAAATGACGTCTAAATTTTATCCTTCTTATGTAAATTATAAGCTGATTAAATTCTACTTTAACTCAATTTCTTTGTAGTTGGAGTCATGTGCTTCATTAATATTTAATAAAAATAAGTTTTATTTTGTTTGAAGTTGGTTAACTTATTAAATATGTTTTAATGAAGTTTGTTATTATTTAAAAGTATAACATTTGTTTTATTAAATTTTAGTTTATATAAATTTACATATTTTTCATGATGCATGTGTAATAATCAGTATAACATTATTCTTAAAGGTTTTCAAAAAACTATTTTGATGATATATTGGTAAATGATTTGTATTGATAGTCTACTAATTGAAAGAGGTGACGAGAGGAAATTATAGTCTCCCCTAGACAAGAACAAAGTTGTCCTTATTTACTTTGTGTGACTATTTACTTGAGTATTGACAACGATGATACAGGACTTTACATGATTAAATTAAAATTATTATTTTCATTAATAAGTATATAAATTCAGTTTCATTTAGAAGGTAAATGTTATATACTAAAATTAAATATCAAATTAATTGAATGGTATATTTATCGATCCTACAAGCAAATTCCTGCTAAGAAACTGTTCCAATATATTTTATTGGTGATGTCATTATACTCAAGGGAGATAATTCTCATTTGATTTTTACAATAACTAATATATTATGGTGCCTCAAAGAGGTGAAATGGTTTACAACTTATTCTCTTTGACCATTATTACTGAATGGTGAGTTCAATTCCATTATTACTGAATAGTGAATTCAATTCTCACTGAGTGCCCCATACTTGTTGCTTTGTGTCAAACTAAGTTATACTTAGTATACAAGAAATAACAATTATTTTAATTACTGGGCACTTTTATTGTGATGTTATGGTTAATAAGCTAGTCTCACAGATCAATGACAGCTGAGTTGTAGCTTTCATCCTTACTGGGTGCCTCTATATTTACAGCCTTGTGCTGCAGATAGTAGTTACAACAATAATAGTTACTTACTAAGCTAAGCTTAGTAAGTAACTATTATTGTTGGAGATTTTTAGATGGAAAAATAATTTTCTTTTGTAAAAAGGTTTGTGTGGAATCTGTTTTACTAAAGAAAATGTATAAAACTTATAAAAGTCACTGCCCCCGATTTCATTGATAAATCCTAAGAAAAAAAAAAATTAGAAACTGATCACTTGGCTAGTACTTTTTTTTCATGGTATCACATTTTTTGTACTTTCTCTCAGTAATGACTTAAGAGTGTATATATATATATATATATATATATATATATATATATTAATAATTATGCATATACCTAGGTTTATATAGTTCTGTTTAACTACATTGAGCACTGTTTTGTATACATCAAAAATCTTTATATGCACATAATCGCACACATAGATAGTAGCTCATATCTCTTTATTTAGTTCATATACATATTTACCTCTCTTTGTATACATTATATATATATATATATATATATAAGATATTGTACATTGAGTGCTGGTTTTAATAAAATATTGCTTGATGTAATACAACAGAGCTATTAAGTATATATTAATAAATATACATATTATTCCTCACCAATGAATTATGTAACTGTCAGTTTCTACTCAGCACCTGAAGATTGTGTTGTACAGGAAACTGAATCATGCTACTGGTGATGAATTTATATTTATTAATATAAATAATAGCAGTTTTTGACTAATAGGGATAATTCCAAGGAGGATATTAATCCAAACAGAGCTCAATGTAAATTACAGGACATTATAATAATAATAACAAATCAAGAAAAAAATCTTAGATTTATTATTATTATTTATTAACACACACACACACACACACACACATACATACATACATACATATACATACATATATATATATATATATATATATATATATATATATATATATATATATAAACAATTATATAAAATAAATTGTTTGGCAACATATCTGCTAGCACAATTTACATTATCCAACATAATGGCATTTACAAGCCTGATGATCCATAGGTGAAAGCATTTTAGTGAGTGAGTTGCTAAAATATTCATTTTATATGATTTTAGGTTATACTGTTATACATAGAGCACTTAATAATTTTTATCTCATAATCATTTATACATATATATATATATATATATATATATATATACACTGATTTGTAATTTGTAGAGATACTTCCAAGGAGGAGATTAATCCAAAGAGAGCTCAATGTAAGTTACAGAGCAATAAAATGATAAACCAAGAAAAAATTTTGGTTATAATTCATTTCATGAATATTTTAATATTCATCTCTTCAGACTGAAAGTTTTTTAGAAATGGAATCAATCTTCCTTTTTTATTATTAAAATTTTTTTCTTTGTCTTTTTTCTTTTACCCTTTTTTCTCTCTCTTTTCTCACCCTACTTTCTCCTTTTTATCCTGATACATCTGTCTGGATGGATTGATTCCATTTCTAAAAACATTTCAGTTCAGTTTGAAGAGATGAATATTAAAATATTCATGAAATAAGTTATAACTGAGGTGTATTTTTAATGTTTTTCTTGATTTATTATATATATATATATATGGCTAAGAATAGTATTTCCTCGTGTCTCTTTTTATTCACATATATGAAATTCAATTGTAGTTGGTAAATTGCAAATTTGATAAAGTGGGTAATTAAAAGTGCCAATGCAGAGTCTATAAAACGTAATAAAATGAAGAAAAAAAATGTGGCAACTCAAGTTTCATCCTTGAAATTGAAGGATCATCATGCCAGCTTTAATCTTTATCTTCTATGCTTAAATATGGGGAATTTGTGGGTTTTTTTTCGTTAGCCTAGATGGGAATATCATCTGAATTCCACGTTATTCATCAAATGTTTTTTAATGCATATATATATATATATATATATATATATATATATATATATATGGATGGCTAGATGGACAATCATAATTGGGGATGCCCGTCTACTAGGGTAGCTAGCTAATCTCTTTTGTAGATGCCTACTCAGGTATATTTCTGTTTGTTCAACACCCACAGAGCCAACCTGTCTGTGGTTTATACTGCAACTATACTGAGCAGACATTAATTACAGTTTCTGGGAGAGAGCATATTATATAGTGTGATCAACAGTCTGAACAAGGTCAGCATGCTCAAACACTCAGTCACGATGACTTGTGACTTCATGCTAGCACAACCATTGATGGCTCCCAAAGGTTCCGTCTACCCAATATATATATAAAAACTAAGAGAAAACTCAGTCCTTTAAATAAGTCAACATTACTGAGTCTTAATTTATTTGTTTCAAAGATGTAACGTTTCCTAGTTATACTTATTTTAAAGGGATTTAAAAAAAAAAAAAAAAGGTTATTCCAAATATTAGATTCCACTAAATGATTTAAACTGTTTTTATTTTGTTTTTTTTTTCTGAAAGTTTCAAGTGCTAGAAATATATAAGAAAGTAAACAGAGTTTCTGTCAAATCTCTCATTGTTCTAAGTTAATTCTCTGAGGAGATGGAGCATTCGTTAACACATATTCACAAAGCATTGACTTTTTGGGCATTTTGTTTTTAAAACTAGAGTCTTTATACAAGGAAATGCCTACACTTTCAAGAAAGCAGCTTAAAAAAAAAAAAAAAAATTCAGGGATATGAAATGATAGAGGGCAAAAGATAAAATAGTCCAGGCACAAATGTAGGGTTTACCAGTCAGATCCAATGTTGCTGCAAAACAAATGCAACTACCTGAATGAATCAATTCAATAATTATTGATTTGATTTTAATGCATTATTCATTCTTTCTTTCTTTCTTTTCTCTTTATAATAAAAGTCAAAGACAAAATGGATGTTTTCTAATGCTGAGGTGAATGAAAATTAACTATAGTTTTTCAGACAAATGTAACACAAATTGTAGAAAAAATATGGTAAAATTCAATCGATCAACAGAATTAATATTTTTTATTACTACAGAAATAAAATAGCAAAAAAAAAGAAAAAGAAATAAAACGAGATTAGATGTAACGCTATCTGGGACAGTAATACTGATGTTCTGTACATGGTTGTATAATTTAACACGTGAGATTTTAGGTATATATATATATATATATATATATATATAAATTATTTTCAGATAGAGTGTATCTGTAAAGGAACAAAATTAATAAAAAGAGATGAAAAACCATTCTTAGCTGACATGCTTCATCCTCTGAGGGACTTTATCGTTATTATTTGTCATAATTCAAAATCATTTCTTGAATATTACTCGTTTACTTTTCACCAGACTTTGAATTATGACACTTTGAGTCCTCCACATGTTTTGACTGACCTTTCAACCAGCTGATAGACATTCATAAACACTCTCAAATTTAAAAGCCTTGTTAAACCAATGACATCCTCACTTTTATATATAAACACATGCAACAAAATAAATCCCACATTGCCTTGCTAAAGTCACTCAGAGGATGAAACACGTCAACTAAGAATAATTTTTTTCTTGTCTCTTTTTATTCATATATATATATATATATATATATATATATATATATATATATATAATATATTATGTCTAGACTAAAAATGATTCTTCCTGAAGGGAAAAAGTTTAAGGTTTTAAAATTAAATATTTCAGTGTATTCTAATCTCGTTATTTTGGTAAATTTGTGAAATATAAGAGTGTATTTAAAATAAGGTCCAAATAAGGAACTTTTGAATTATAACAAGAAAGCAATCATTTCTATTTTTAAATATTGGTGTTGAGCATTCTTAAATGCAGCAATCCAAAATGTGAATATTTTTAATTTGGTCGCTTGTGGCCAATAATCTTTCTTGATTCTTTAGATTGAAAATTTAAAAGGTTTTATAATGATTGATCTGTTGCCATGATAAACTCAAATTTTATTAAATCAAATATGCTTGTCAGATCAGATTGACTGACAAGGGAAATGAGTTTATGAGATGTTAGCCGTAGTAGTAGTAGTAGTAGCAGCAACAACGTAAGTAACAATTATACTACAAGCACTGCATTATGATATGAAGCAATCATATGTCTGGAAATGCTGACAATCTATTTACATACTGTAACCTTAATAATATTTTTGAAATGCCACATGTGGATGTATTAACATGACAATGATAAATATTGCACACTGTTGCAAGCAGTGTAGGCTGAACCCTAAATTGAATTCAGAAAGTTAGTCCAGTATTGTCATAAGTAGATACCGGAACAGAATGAAAATGATTTTAATGGAACCATCTGTTGATCGTATTGAATCAGTCAATTACAAATGTAGAACAAAATTATTTCTATAACTTACTCAATGTTTACAAGGAAAAAATATTTTTGTCAGAATTTTTATTGTTTGTAATTTTAAAAAAAAATTGTCTACAAATTTCTCACATGAAAAACTATATTCACAAAAAAATTAATTTTTTTTTTTCTTTTTTCTTTTTTAAACTAATTAAGAATGGCAGGGGGAACAATTTGAATAAGAGATTTGCTCTTCACAATTATATTCTGTCCTTGCCTTGTTTTTAAAGTGACTGCAAAAGTTTTCCGGATTAATCTTCTCTTTTCTAGGCAAAGTATGGGAAAATGTATGTCAAGTCTAGAGTAAAGTCTACAAAGGTTTTCTTCTACGGTAAATTAGGAACACCTTGGTAGAACAATAACTGTAATCTTACAAAGAAATCTTTATACAACTTTACTGAAATGAAAATAATTCTAAAACATTGTTGAAAACAGTAGATTATTCATAATTATACAGTATTTCGTTCACTGAATATTTGAATTATCAAAAATAAATCCATATTTAGAAAGATCTTTGTACATATCTACAATGTGATTGTTTCATCCCTAAATATTTCTCGGTAAAACAGATAAGTAATTTTTAAACTGCAAATGGTACATACTAGATGTTAGAATTTAGCACTGAATTTTGACTTAATATCACAAAATTTTGGGGAAAATCAATAAAATGGATCAATAAAACAATTCATCAAACAAACAAAACAAGGAAGAAAAAAAGAAAGAACAATATTTAGTGTGATTTTTTTCTCCATCTTTTGTCAACGTGTGGTTGCGGATTTTTTTTTTTATTTAGAACTAATACCACGTAAAGACAGCCTTTACATGAGACTTCCTGATCTCTTTAAAACAAGCAATTCTACCTTCACATCAGTGTGAAATGTGGGCTTGCTTCGGACACAAGGTATTTCTAAAAGTATATCACTAGACCTGGTCTGAGCTGTACACATAGGTTGTATAGAACAAGACAAGAAACCTTATTTAGGCGCCGACTCACAGCCAAAGCCTGCACCCTAAAAATAGTGTGAAGACCATAGCAGATTGTTAACTTATAGAAATACTCAAAAAATCCCCCAGGACTAAAAATAGGAAGGACTTTTTACATTTATAATTTACAGGTACACATGAGTGTACGAGTAGGACACCTCTCAGCAAAAATCTTTTGACTGCGAATTTCATTCACAGTCATTGTCCACGAAGCACCATAATCACCTACAAAAGAATTTGCATAGCAAAGAGCTACTTTGGCTAAACTATGATCTCTTTTTTGTGTGTGTTTTTTCTTTTTTGTTTTTTTTGTTTTTTTTTTTTTTGCAGTTGATTGAAATTTTTTTTTTATCATCAAAAGACGGATCTGTCAATCCTAAATAACTGAAATCTATCCAATACAGGCACTTTTACAGTTCCCCGGGGTTCATAAACATCTCTGCCTCTCTTCCTTCTCACACAACATCTTTTATTTCTCCTCCATATCTTCTCATCATACTAGCATTGCCAAAACACAATCCCAGGTTGTTAGTTACCGACATTCCTGAAGAGTGGATCGCCAGCAAAAAATGCCAGCCCTCTACTCATCAACTAACTTAAAGCAGTGTAAATCTGAATAAAACATCATCCGTTTGATATGTCTATTGACCTTCCATTATCACAAACTACAGCACGTTCTAGAGCCATTTGAACAGCACGTGACTGTAGCGTACATCACATGATTTTAAAAACGGTGACGTCAGTGTTGTGAAAAAAATACAAAAAAAAAAAACAATAAATTAAAAACAAGTATTTTAAAAAACAAACAAAAACAAAACTGACGCAATACCCTCTGATGATGATGGGCAAATCCGATGATTAAACTAGTTTTTGGTTTCACTAAACTGGAGATTCTTTAGAGTCTGTAAAATCTTCTCCAGGTTTCCTAATATCTAAGGTTATTAATTTTCCTATAGTTGGTTTTTCTACTTTGACTTCGTCAACAATTGGTTTGGATTTTCCGGGACTGATTCGACCCGATTTCTGTTCTCCAGCAGGTAGGGGTTTCCCCTTTGTTGGCGATTTCTCTGTTTTTTCATCAGAACATTTTTCTACACTTGTCTTTTCTGTTTTTGTGTCCCGTGATTTACCATTTGGGGACTTTTCTGATTTTTCTTTCTCTTTTTCTTTCTCTTTTTCTTTCTCTTTTTCTTTTTCCTTCTCCTTATCATCCTTTTCTTTTTCCTTCTCTTTCTCCTTCTCCTTCTCCTCTTTCTTTTCAGATTTTTGATCCAGGGTTTTTCCCTTAATGTCAACACTCCTGGATCTTGGTCGATGTTCTTTGGACGATTCAGATGATTTTAATTTTGTCTTGTCTAAAGACGGTATAGATTCTCCAGGTATCTTTAAGTACTGCATACTTGGCCGGGTCTCAAAAGTCACTGATCTTTCATCAAGGCTTGGTGCCTTGCGTTCTCGATATTTCCTTGCTTTGTGTTCCCGGCCGCTACTGTCTGCTGACTTGAACTTTTTTTCAAGATAACCTGGTTTTCGCTTTTCATTGCTCGAGTCTTCATCAGCCGAAACGTGTTCCTTTTTATCTTCGGCCGAAGTTTGTTTCAGAATTGGTTTACGTTCGTGACTTTTGTCCTTCTCTTCTTTGTGGTGGTGGTGGTGATGGTGGTGGTGGTGGTGGTGTTTTTCCTTCTCTTTTTCTTTCTCGTGTTGATGGTGATCTTTTTCTTTTTCCTTATCTTTGTCTTTTTCCTTGTCTTCCTCTTTCTCTTTCGCCTTGTCTTTCTCTTTTTCTTCCTTATCCTCTTTTTCTTTATCGTCTTTTACTTTGGTTTCAGGAGACAATTTATCATCTTTCATTTCTTTCATGTCTTTGTTTGTTTCATTAATTATTCCTAAAACATCTCCACAGCTTCCAGTTCGTTTCCGATCTGGCATTTGTGGCACCCTCAAACCAAAAAGATTGGACCCTGAATGAACCTTAGGCAACCTGCTAAAAATATTTGATGGCCTATAGTCATCCCTATCTTCACCAGCCATTCTAGCAAGGTTCTCCTTTGACTTAGATTTCCTTTCTTCAGTTATTTTCTGAAGAGTTAATGGGAAGTCAAACTTAAATTTTTTTTTCGGTTTCGTTTCATAACTGTCATCAGACTCTCGGTCCTCATCTTCACTCGCACTGGTGGGAATGGGGGTAGACTCCATGACAATCTCATTGACTAACTTTTGGTCCTCCTCCAAATCTGCACGGCTGCTGACAATGCTCGGGTTCTTACCAATCTTTGACAGTCTCTCTGCAGCTACACTTTCCATTGTGCGCCGCATCACCGGGTAGTTATCAAGGACAGCATTGAAGTGTTCCACAGAGAGGGAATATAAATTCACATAGGTTTCAGAACGAACGCTGGCCACTCGTTTGGCATTCGTTAGAAGACAAATCTCTGCAAAAGACAAAAACAGGAGATAGAATTCAGTAAAAAAAAAAAAAGATGAAGGAAGAAACAATTTAAAGAAAAAAGACATTAAGAACATTCAGGCTTTATTAAAAAAAAAACTCTTGTGGCTTTGTTAGGGCCAGAAATAAAGACACAAAGAGAGGACTTGAGTTAAACAAATATATTAACAGAAACAGATGCAAATGAGTGTGTTACAGCAAGAATGTTCGGTCCGAGTGTCAGAGCTGACTGCTGGAAACTTCCCTCTCCAAAAGGCAGTACCTGCTCCTATTTATAGCTGGTTGAGTCCATGTATACATGGATAAATTACCATAACAAAAACTTTTTGCATTTTCTATTTTGTTTATTTCGTTTTTGTATAGCCCAATAATTTACAAGGAAATTACAAACATTTACAAAACTGTATATTTTATCTTTGAAAAATATAATACTTTTACCCAAGCTTAGTAAAACTATGACAAACTGCATTACAAATAAATAATTTTTTAAAAATAAGCATTGTTTATACTAATATAATTAAAAGGAGGTCATGAGAATGAAATGACTTGCATTTAATAACAAAATGTTGGGTATGCCAAATATATCTGGTCAGCTTGTGTGGTAACTGTCAAAGGCACAGATATTTATCTAAATATTAAAAACAAAAAAGTGCTTGGGTGAAATTGGAAGAATGTAAATGAAGTTTTTATTTTTTTAAAAGGAAAACAAACTAACAATGTTTAGAAATACGATACATGCTTTCTCTCTGATCCTCAAAAGGAAATCTAGTGAATATAACAAAAGTTTGTCCTCAATTACAAATCCAGTATGTCATGATGCAAGGGGTTGTGCATTTCCCACATGCCAGGAAAGCATCTTTTCATGATGTCTACCCATAAATTGTTCACTGTCTTGACTGAGGTTTCATGGATTGGCTGTTATGGCTCATTAGGGGAGAGGAAGTAAAGTTAATCCAAGAACAAAATATTTCCTTAGGTTGTCTGTTGATAAGATTATCTTAAAGTTTGTAGACAAAACGAGGCATAAACATAGGAGGAAATTTTACATGGGGCACTGAAAGAATTTGTTATGAAAGTTTTCTGTTGCACTGAAAATGACCAGTTTTTGCCCTGAAAATATACAATTTGTTTGTCCTGTACTTCTCAGACCCTTTGCCATTCAGGGCTGGTGCAAGGGTACCCGCTACACCAAATCTATGATATGGTAGACTTATAAATGTGTAAGATAGACCATTTTTCTTGCCAGAATCTATCACATCACTGTGAATGATCTTTTTTAGCAGCAGACCCAACAGTTAATTTAATAAAATTGTTCTACATTGTAATTTATAAAAATCATTGTTTAGTGGTGTTATGATGTTAATTTGGGGTTAATAAAGACAAACGCCAAATAACATGTAACAATAAAATGGGGTTTATTCGGTTTGTAAGTTGGTACAGATATCGCCTGAGTAGTCTATAACTAACTCAGCTCAGAACTTCTTCTACACTGTCTTTTGACATGCCACTATTTAACGTCCTTGTTTGTAGACGAGTTCATCTTCAAGAGGGGTGGTAGGTTCCTACACAACAAGTGGAAATAAAATCTAATATACACAAATAAGTAAAATTAAACCAGTTAGATCTTACGAATTTATTATTGCTTATTATTTCTTTTTTGATAGGATTATTATTTTTTTTTTTGTTGGAGGAAGAGGAGAAGGCAGGTATCAACCATTGGCAACAGACCTGCTATGCCAGAAGCTGGTGTTTGAGCAAAAGGAGATCATTTTGACTATTGATCCTTAATATTGGCAGGGTTTATTTGGGGGTTAGACATTTATAGGTGGTTATCTTTGAATAACATCCTTAATCCAAATTTACACCGTTTAAATATGCATGCAAAGATAATTAATGTACTGATAAAATTTGATATCTCTTAAAATATAGAATATCCAAAGAGTTCATATCAGAAGGTTCTCGTTTTGAACATTGAATGTCCTTTGGCATATAATAGAGAGAGCGAGAAGAGAGTCCTTCTAAATGTTTATGTATGTATGTATGTATGTATGTAGGTATGCATGGCTAAATTTTGGGTGGCTAGAACATTCACTTTCTGACCATGAGACCCGGGTTTGAATCTCACCACGGTTGATTTGTCAGGAAGGAGACTTCCTGATATCAGTCTGGAGGGCCATCACAGCATGCAGCACCTTTGGAAAGTACCTAAAAACCACAGCATGGGTTGACCCAAGCCTTGTGAGTGAAATTGGGTAGACGGAACACTTGGAGGCCATCAATAGCTGTGCTAGCACAAAGTCACAAGTCATCGTAACTGAGTGTGTTGGCATTGTTCAGATCATGCTAGATAACATGCTCTCTCCCAGAAACTGTAACTAAGGTCTGCTCAGCATAGTTACAGTATAAACCACAGGTTGGCTCTGTGGGTGTTGAACAAACACAAATGTGCCTAAGCGAGTATCTGCAATAGGGATTGGCTAGCTGCCCTAGTTGGGTATCCTCAAATACAAGTGGCCAGCTATTATTACCTAGTTAACAGTAGTAACCTTTTCAACTCTCTGTGGGATTTTTAGGTGTCTGAAAATGTAAGCATGGGAGAACAGACAAAATTCTTTCATTGACTCTATGGTGCCTTTGCCTGGTCATCTGAGTATTTTATGTTTTGCAGACAAAGGAATTCATTTCAGAATTGTCTCTTGATTTCTGATTGGTTCACAAAACTCATTTGACCGTTCCTCTTTCTTCACCTACATTTACAAATGATGACCTTTTGCCCTCTTTTATTTATTTCTTTTTTTTTGTTTTTTCTTATCTTTTTTGTTTTTATTTCTTTATGACAAACGAAAATGCTTTGCCACTTTTAGTTTTCTATTTTTCTTATTTTTGAAATAGTGAACTTTTTATTTTTCTATCACTACACACTCACTTGGAAGATTGCTGCAATATGATCTTCCCAGCTTCATTTGTTGCTGTAGCTTAGTCTGGTACAAGGGCACAAGTATAGAGCACCCAGTAAAAGATCAAAATCATTCTGGTAACTGTAGTGCTTTATAAGATTAGATTGCTAAGCTCTATGCTATGCTGAAGGCCCTAAACTTAAATATATTAAGAATAAAAATGCTGTGTTATAAAATGTGAAAAAATCCATCTAAAAAGATATTTGTTTATGAGGAATATCTAAAAAAAAAAGAAAGACATATCGTTGTTCAGATCATGCTATTTATTAAATATTTCATTATAAATTTTATTCTTTTAATTGTATGTTTGTTGGTGCTTTAAATACAGACAAACTTGCAGTAGACAATCTGAGATTATTACCGAGTTCAACATATGGATGCCGACATGGTGGGCAGGGTAACTCTTAAATGAAAATTTATAAGCAGGTCGCGGTTGCTTCCCTTTGATAAGAAAGCGACGCAGTCAATATAACACATTTCGGAATAAGATACCAAGTAATGCAGTCGTTTCGTTTTTTTTTTTGTTTATCACACAAAGAAGCTATCAGGGAGTTTTGTTTCTGTTTATAATTTTATTGTTTAAGAAAAACAAAATAACAGATAATATCTTTGTACCCTGTAAGCATTTTTAGCCAAATGAATTTGATATCCTATTTCAGAAATATTATTGATAATTTGGGGAAAATAATGTTAATAATAAACTAAACTTGAAAAGTAAAAGATAATAAAAATGCATATAAAAGGAATCAGAATATTATTAGACCACGAGGAGTAGTGGAGCCTCAGGCAGTAAGTTTGGGGAGGATAGATGAACTAGTACAATGAAATAGCATGCAAAATTAGTTGTACTTCTTGCCCTCTCATTCCACGTGTACCATTTTTAACTAAATTCACTTTATCTTGGGCTTTTACTTGAGAGTCGCACTATGAGTCCGTTACTGTGAGTGGATTATTTTCATAGTGTATTGTTAATAACATTTATCTTAAAAATTGTTATTTTCTTAAAAAAAAATCATTTTTTTCTTAACTATTTTTAAATGTTTTTCCATTTTCTTATTTTCTTGTGTATGTTTCTTTTGTCTACAATCAAAACGAATATTATAAATTGTTTTTTTTTTTTTTTGCATTTTGTAGATGTTGTCCAGTTTTAGAATGTTGTTTAAAGGAGTACCAAAATCTACAAATGTCCCAGGGAGAACAAATGCCATGTACATTAAGAGAATCAAAATCAGAAGGGAAAATTAAAGTCTAAGAAGGAAAATATTTATGTTGGAGAGTTTCCTGTTAAAGAATTAGAATTAGAATTAGGCATTAAAAATGGATACTACTGTTTCTACTGCTTTTGTTTTAGTAATTTTAATCTTTCTTTGAAAGACATGAAACTGCTTCATAATACAGTATTTACTTATAAGTAGATATTATTTTAAAATAGCATTAGAAGATTTATCTGTAACATCAAATATAACTGTCTTGTTGGGCTACTTTTCCTTCTTCTTTTCCAGTTAGTATGCAATGTTCTTGGCCAGGCATGTGACATTTAATGACCAATCAGTGAAGCTCAGTCTGGATATTAAGAACTTGTGAGTAGACACAACACGACATAGTGGACATCTAAGCAAAAACAACTTTTGTAACATTCACTAGTTTTCCATTTCAGGATTGGAGAGAAGGCATGTAATAATTCCATACTTTGTTAGTATGTTAAAAAGCTGTCCCTCCCCCAAATTTATTTACAGTCTTCTGATTTTGCCCAAGCCATATTTATTTTATCATTATAAATGTTAGGGTAATTAACTGCTTGTTTTAGCCAGATACAACTATCAGGTCACCCAATATATATTTGATAACCTAACAATATAATAACAGGTTTCATTCATACACCTGCATACCAATATGCCTTGTTGTATGGACATAAATTAAAAAATAAACAGTTGTACATATTAAGATATACATGGCTAGTTCTCTTTTAGACCGAGTAATACATGGAAGGACTGCATTGGGGGGGGGATGTGCGTGAGTGCAGCCTTGC